TTATTAATGCTGATTCATTGAAAACAACAATTGATAAAGATCAATTAGATATCGTCTCATTTTTTGTTTCGGATATCAAACGTTTTTCGGCTGTTATTCAAATCCAAATTGATGTTAATGGACGAGGGTACAATGTACTAGAATATGCAATTGCATTAAAAAAGAGTGATTTTGTACGAGTATTTATTAGTGTGAGAGTACCACCAGAAGAACGAGAAGTATATCGGTTGTATAAAAACTTTTTAAGACACTATAATTTTGCCTACAGTGGATCATCGTACGACCAGACGCCGATACAGCGAATGTTAACCATAGTAAGAGTAACTTATCGTAGTAAATTTTTTTCTAGCTATTTCGAATGTTTTAGGCTGAAATGGTGCCGTTAGTACCCGTTTTACTAGAACAATTTGTTGGTGAGGATGGTATTGATCTTTCTGTGATAGACGATTGTCTTTGTGCCCGACCGTCGGCTCATAAATGTATATTCGGTCGATCGAAACGCTTTTCATCAACAAATTGGTTGAAGCAACATCCATTATCATTGATAGCTGAAGCAAATCATGCGCCCGTCTACGATCATGATGTTGTGAAAATGTGTGTCGATTTAAAGTTTCAATTATTCGGAAATTTTCTTTATTTTCTAATTTTATGTGCACAAATATTTTTTGTTAGTCTATACACTGGTATTGCACTTACTTCACCAACTCCATATAAACCTGGTTTTACCTATTATGATATGGCAAATATAACTTGTAAACAAATGTGTCTCACCATGCAAAATGATCCAACAGATCCATTACAATCAAATATATTATTACGTAAGTTATTTGCTGAAATCATCATCAAATTTTCCAATAATCTTCGGATATTTCAATCTTAGTGTGTAAAATTCAGTACAAACATATTGAACTGCTTACTGCTATGAAGTTTCCATTTGTATTTCTCCTTTTAGATATTGCTCGTATCATATTATTGTTAGCATCGTGTCTAGCCTTATTTAAAGAATTTATTCAATTAGTCACTCAACGCGAAAAATATTTTCGAGGTTTTTTCGTTAATTTTTTGGAATTGCATACATACGTGTGTGCCATTATATTTGCTATTGATATTAATGAGTGTACGAGAAAAACAGGTTTAAGATGTAAATTTCAATGGGAAGCAGGAGCATTGGGGATTGGAACAGTATGGACACTGTTGTTATTAGTATTTATGAATGCATTAAAAATTGGAAAATATGGATTGTTATTCGTTAGTGTATTTTTGACATTCTTAAAATTTTGTTTAATTTATGTATTTATTTGGATCGGCTATATTATTGCTTTTCATATGTTTTTCATTCATAAAAAACCACAATTTTCAAATATCTTTCACACGATACCAAAAACATTGGCCATGTTAACGGGCGAATATGATTTTGATGATCTATTTTTTCCACAAGGAAAATTCTTGCAAGGATCAGAAGCAGCTATGGCATTATACAGTACATTTGTGTTTACAATGAATATTGTGATCATGAATATTATGGTAAGTACAGTTCAAACAAGATATCTACGTGAAATTTTTTATTTATTCTTTTTATTTCAGGTCGGTTTAGCTGTAAGTGATGTAAAGTCCTTTCGTTTGAATGCTAAACGTGAACATTTACGTGCACGTATTGAAACATGTTTGGGTTTACAGGCAAAATTTGGTCTACTATGCGAAACATGTTCGAAACTTGTACTAACATTATCGAAACATTCATTATTTCCAAACATAAATCAACGTATAACACAATTACACGGTATTAAAAAATATCATTTATGGAAATTAGAATTGAGGATTAACAAAATTGATATACCAACATTGATTACAGCACATTTGACGAACGCAAATTCTAGTCAAAATAAACATCAAAAACAACGAGCAGAACAAATTACATGTGAAGTTGGGTATTATCGTCATCATATAGATCGTGCTGGTGAACCATTATTACAAGATAGTGAAAATGTTCGTCTAATGCGAAAAACAGATGAATTACGTGAAGTATTAGAAAAAGCACATTTGAGAATTCATCATGAACTGAGAAAATTAACTATTGCATTACAAACAGATTTTGATGATATTAAACGAAAGTTATTGGAAAGTTAATCGTACAGTCTCTCTCATTCCAATCTCTGAAAATAATACTGCTTCGATTGAAAATGTCTGTGATATATTTTTATTATTGTTACTGTAATTCAGCAAAGCTTCCTTTGTTTTGTTTTTACGGTTTGTACATAATGTTTATATTCGCTAAAAAGTCTTTCTCTAAGTCGAAATAATTGATAGTAATCACAAAGAACAGTCACTATTTGCTTTATATTAGATTAAATATCTGTACAAGATTCCTTGATGAGCACTCTATAATTAAAGATCTTCTACTTTTCTTTGGGTTGCATCTAGCTTTAGCGAAACTTTTAGAACGCAAAGGACATTCTATGCATATACTATGGTAAAAATTTCAACCTGGAATATAGAGTTGTTCTAAGGGTCAAGATGGGATTGTTGCTCAGATTTGGTAATAGCTAAGAAGATCGAATTTGTTTTGAAGTGAGTAAGAGATCTTAATGCGTTGACCAACTATGATCATGATCCAACAATCTCTGCGTTTCCTGCTGCTGCTTATTTAAACTTGCATGCTCCCAGAAGATGTGTAGTTATTGAGAATGAAGTTAGTATCATATTTTGTACCGCTGCAAACAAACAGGTCGTATGTCAGTCGAATATCATTTAAGTGAATCATGTGAAGCATAAGTTTGATATTGTATGAAAGCGCACACTTTAAGTTCTACATACTCAAGAGCATATTCAAAGTCAAGTTTTCGTGAAATATAATAGTTTTTTTGAAGGTGAACAATTCTTAACTCTTCTTCTGTGAATGAGTATAAAAAGAGTCAAGGACTTTTTTATTCGACAGTGCTTCTGTTGTGTTCACATATGAAAGGCTATAAAAACAACAGAGTTGAATGGTTGCCATCTTTTCCTCGTTATTAAAGGTTAAAGGCGCCGACAAATAAAATGCGACATAATGATTAGGGAACATTTATTCAATGAAATTTCCTCGAAAACAATAATCTCGAAAATAATTTCTTCGAATGGCAACCTCCTCGAATTGTCCAAGCAGAAATTATCAATATTATTTACAGCATATAGAACAAGATAAATATTAACAATGAACACAAAAAATGACTCCAGTTAACCACAGATAAATACCAACAAGGCAACTGAACCTACCTCAGTTACAGTTATCTCTCAATGAAAATGCTTTATTTGAAACATGAAATTTATAAATGGATATTACGAGCTATTGCAGTCACTTATTGTTCTATATTGGGATGAGGATATTTAATTCGATTCATTAAACGTTTACTATGATCACTATAACGTATCCGTTGAACCTTTGACTGCCATTTATAGCTGCCAAATCCAACTGAAGAGAACATTCTTTTGTTTTTAATTTTTCTAGTAATGTCTATAATGTAGGATGTTCACATTGAAGCGATTTGTGTAATTTATTGTATCATCCTTCGGCATGGTTATTGCTTCGAAGGGATATTGTTTTATCTGTACCGCTCTGCATATTCCATAATTTAACAGCAAATTTCGGATCTGCTCTAACGCCTCTGCACTCGAGCGTCCGATATATGTGTCGTCGAAATAATTCAAAAAATCTTGTAAATCTAATGGTACATCTTCAGACAAAAAAACAAATCTTGGTGGTAAAAATGTTAATGCAGCTACACGAGTGCAATTGTAAGCAAACAATGGATCGTTGTCATAACGATTCTTTCATTCAAGTGTCTAAATGAAAATTAATCCCATACAGAAATAATTATATAGAAGATATCTATCTCATCTGGTATTCCATATTTCCAAATAAAGAAGTGATCCCAGGCAGCCAGAGTTGAACTAGAAATATAGTCATAGGCGAGTACCTATCTAACTATGTACAGAGAGATCAGCGAGAAAAAAATAATATAAATATTCTATGTTTCTTTACTAAATTCTACGTTCTTTATACAGTTTCATTTTAGGAAAATAAAGCCATGCATGAATATTATTAAAACGATTAATATTAAACTTTTTTGGAACCAACCTAGTGAAAGTACTCATACTGTGAGTACCACTTTACTCATAATTCGTCCATGAGTACTCATATGGATTCTACTAATAATCCTTGAGTATTGTTACTCAGTTACTCATGTGTGAAATTATGCATTCATCGTTTTATTTTCGCTAGTCTCCAAACACTTCACCAAATAACATTACCAAATCGCTTTTTGAGAAGACAGAAACTTTTTTCTGAAGACAGCCTTTTCCGTCGAGTGATTCCAATGTTGAACTCACGAAATAGAAACAAGTGTAGACTTACCTTATTAAATCGTTTTGTTAAAGATTTTTTAAACATAATTCTGTATGTGTAAACATCCGTTGTGTCTGTTACGAAGATGATATTTCTAATCATTGTTCGATCAACCTTGTGGACGAAATTATCGCTAATATATTTATAATTTTTTTTTATCAATTTTAAAATTGATGATTTACAAAATTTTCACAGAAGTATACGAGGTTCTCTAGCAGTTATGCGTAGCTTTTACAGATTTACCCGTCTAAAGATTATGACTGAGGTTATGCAAATGCCTAATGTCTATCGTTTCCACCACGAAAACAAGGTACGTAAAAATACATTACAGCCTCATCCACGACGAGAGTCAGATCAATGTGCAGAGTATTTTGTAATTAGTGAAACAAAACAGTTAAATACTCATGGCGATCGTACAAGCTCGGATGCTCGATATAAGTCAGACGTTCTAGAACATCTTTAGTTATATTCGTCACAAAACGTATAATACTAAAGTTTATTGAAATATGAAGAATCTCGCGATCCCAATATTAATTGTGAAGCTCGTGCTCATACAAATTTACTTAATAATGTTATTTTTGTTAACAGTAAATTACACTTACATTCTGCAAATGCTATTAAGCTGTTCGCAAAGGTTATGCAGATCTTCGTTATCATGCGATAAACAGCAACGAACTGCTAGCAAATATAGTTGGAAATTCATTCGGCGCACTTCCCATTCTTGCATAAGTGCAATTACCCTCAAAACAAAACCTGAAACGTTTAGTTAAATACCATCGTTCCGATAATGATTATCCATCAATGCCGGTCGATTGAAGTTTTTCTACCCTAACACTATCATTGTGTGTCACAACCAAAAATATTATTTTTTTAGTTCATGATTCTGGTCCATGGAATAAAAATAACCGTTTTCTAATTTTCACTATCCCTGATCAATTACAAACTCTTGAAACTTCGTCAGATTTTTTTTATGAACATTACATCTAAAGTCGTATGCAACCTTTTAATGAGATGTGCTCATTTAGTTGGCGCATGTTTCGTTAAGAGAGACTTCGCCGGTCGATCGAGTATCTTGCCAAAGACCAGTCACGAGTGAAAAGTTGACATATACTTTTTATTTCATATTCGGACTCTACTATCAAAACTGAGGTTATGAAAAATAAAAAAAACCTTCTGATTTATTCTGGCTGAGTTGTAGAATTTACAAAATGAGCACCATCGTCTATTTGCGAACAGTAGTGATCTTTATTTTTCATAACCCCAGTTTTGATAGTAGAATCCGAATATGAAATGAAAAGTAGGGACACAATGTCCAACAAAAATCCAACACCGCAAAACACTTGTTGAACAGACACAACAACACCAAACACGACAGGCATTCAAAACAACAGGCAAAAATCAACAGATCCTTATCAAAAGCAATCTTCATCACCATCAACAACAAACTGTTGGCTCTCTTCACCATCCACATTATTTTCGAATACATTACATACCATTGCACGAACAATTCATTCTTTAAAAGCCAGCAATAATACAACAGAAACCAGCAATAACAATCATCAACCATCGCCTCCTCGACAGCATCAACAAAGTCCATCAGATCTTATTATTGCATCCATTAAAGATGAAATAAACAAATCACAGTTAATTCTTCTGGGAAAAATTTCACAACTTGAATTAGATAACAAAGTTTTCCGATATCACCAAGTCCAAATTGAAGAAAAAATAGAAGAACAAGTTTTACCACAAGTAAAGATACTTTCTGATTTACTTACTTCAATCTGTACATCATTATCTCAGTCCAATATATTAGTAATGAACGAGCAACAACGCACACAACTGACAATCATCAATCAGAATATACAATCAAAGGACACACCTATAACACAAATCACACGGACACAACAAACTTCCTTGCCACCACTATCAACACACTCACCACTTACTCTCCGATTCGATACAAAGCCGCCGGTCACTGATGAGACAGACTACAACAAAATGTGTGAAGATCATCAATCTGAATTGTGTTTTAGAGAGGAGGGACAAGCATCTGCGGATTTTCATACATCACGTTTAGAAACAATAAATAATATGGCTGGTGAAGAGAACCAACAGTTTGTTGTTGATGGTGATGAAGGTTGGTTTTGATAAGGATTTGTTGATTTTTGTCTGTTGTTTTGAATGCCTGATCGTGTTTGGTGTTGTTGTGTTTGTTCAACAAGTGTTTTGCGGTGTTGGCTTTTTGTTGGACATTGTGGAGCTGCTGCTGAATGTGCTCCACCACAATTTGCACATTTTATCGCATTTTGGGTCGCTCAAATGTCTACGTCGTTCAAATGTCGGCGTCGTTCAAACGTTGGTCGCTCAAGTGTGGCCATTTTCCTTCATCCAAAAGAGTATCATAAGTATATTTATCGTTAGCAAATAATAGTAATGCTGCTAGATTATTTGGATGTGATGAATACCTTGCTGTTGCAATATTGATTTGTGTGTTGAACTTGACAAGATCATTTAATACTGAAATTTCCAAAGGTTTTTGTTGTTAATTGAATTTGACTTTAAATGGTGGAAACTGTAAACGAGATGAATTGTACGGTGAATAGCGAGACGATTGTAAATGCTGTATTGTTCTGTTATTAAAATTTTGTGTAGAGTTTCTGTTGTTCTTGTTAGTATGATTAAAAGGATAGTATGTTCGTGTGGTTACTGAAGATGGTTTAGATTTATTGTTTTGAACGTTAAAATATGAATGTACTGCTGAATTTTCTATATTTACACTGCTATTGAAGGTTTTCTCTTCTGTAGTTTTACGAATTTTATTCCTCTGACGTGTGACGATTTGAAAACTGTCATCTGTGTCAGTTTGATCTACGAGATTTGATGCTGAATTGTTGACCATCCCTGCATTAGTAGTATGATCGCTAATTAAGAGGGACAAGCCACTAGCATCTCTTTTAAGTGTTTTTACGTTAATTAAAGTGTGATCCGGCGCCATATTGGCATTTGACGACAGATTTTTTCTGGAGTTGCACGTACTTGTAGCCATATAACTTCACTCAGGTTTGATGTCGTTCGCAGCAATGTCGGTCGCTCAAATGTCGCGTCGCTCAAATGTCGGCGTCGTTCAGATGTTGGTCGCTCAAGTGTCGGTCGCGGTGAGTACTCATTGAGTAAAAAAATGTCTGCGGACTCATATGTACTCCGCCCTTTCTTTAGCATGAGTACGCTTCTGAGTACTCACACCTGAGTACATTCAGTAGGGTAGTCTTATTATCGATTTTGAAATTCTTCACTATCAAAAATGATTCAATTTAGTTTCTACATGTTAATGTACGTTATTTATTCAGAAATGAAACTTTGATATGAAGTCTGTGTACTACGATGAGTTCCGCTATATACTCCGAAAAGAATATCAATCTGGTCTCAGAATACTAGCGTCTGGAATTTTTTGTATTTAGATTTTATTCTTTTTTTTAATTATCCTTAGCTAGTCTGATACATTTAGAGAGTTCTTATTCTTATAATAAGTATTTTATAACAAGACACACCCGTTTACAAAAAATGAATGCATAGAGATAAAAATTAATTTCACTGAAAATGGATTGACAAGTGAACAAACATCTGCAATAACCTACCTCACAAAGAAAAATCTATTTTTTTATTCATAATCAAGATTGTAAAACAGCATAATGGGTCGAACGTGATCGGCCTTGAAGCTTGATGCGGCCGAATGTGTTCGGACGAAGATTGCAAATACGATAGTTTATATTTTTCTCATCGGAAATACCAGTGAGCGCTCTGTTGAGGAACTATTAGGACAAAGTACTATAAACTTTAAAAAGATACATTTGAATTAGAGCTGAAACGTTCTGCCTACTTTATTTATACAGTGAGGCAAATACTTTTTATATGAAAACAAAGTAAATTAATCTGCTACAGAGGCCATATCAGTAAAGTATGCTTTAGTTAGAGGGTAGATAAGATATAATGGAAACTAAAGATACTTTGAACTTACTGTATAAAAATAATTTTGCTGCAAAAAATGATATCCCAATCGGGCTATGTCCCCACACTGACAGTATTCCATTTTCCGAATCCACTCAATGCTATGCAAATATTATGGATTAATATCATCATGGATAGATCACCAGCACAATTTTGGTTGGTCTCTGGTATGTAACAACGGAAGCGTTTGCTCACCTCTGTAATGGCTTTTGCCGCTTTGGGTGTCATAACGTCGAATCCCGTACACGAAAATTCATATATAAAACCGGTCCAAAATACGGGTCACACCGGTTCATTTTCAAGCAGGAAAACCGGTGAAAACCGGCGGTTTGCGACACAATAACCGCTCTCTCGTGTAAAAACCGCGGGTGTCTTTTTTCATTTTTCTGAATCGCTGCGGGTATAACAGCGGTTCTCGCCGGTTATTTTTTGTTAAAAATCGC